AGAACTACTGCTATGTGGGTAGATATAGCAAGTACCCATTCAGAAATAGCTCCAGCAATATTTTTTGGCTATACTAAAAATCATGGTGTACAAGGACAAGATATTACTAACAATATTTATGCAAGGGGTTTAGGAATGAATAGAAGTTTAGATAATGTGTGGAGAGTGGCAGCAAGGGTAGATTTCAAAAAAAATAAATTTAAAATTTCTCCAGAAATAGAATTACACAGGAGCATCATATGCCAATACTCAAAATAACTTGACAGCCTCTGGTAATGTAAGTAGTGTTGGTAATATTAGAGCAATTGTTTCTGCTGTATATTCATTTTAAAAACAAACAAAAAATATATTTATATGATGAAAGAAAGTAACAATTCTTATTGGAAACAAAACATTAAATATTTAATAATATTGATGTTTATTTGGTTTATGGTATCTTATTTATGGTTGTGCCATTCTATTTGTTGAGCAACTGAATCAAATTTTCATTGTGGGCTTTCCTCTTGGTTTTTGGTTTGCACAACAAGGCTCTATTTATGCATTTATTATGATTATTGGAACCTATGTTTATTTGATGAATAAAATAGATAAAAATATAAAATAAAAGATTAAATTATTATTATGGACGGAACAATTTGGACATGGATTTGGGTTATTGCGACCTTTTCTATGTATTTAGGAAATTGCAATTTGGGCAAAAGCTGCCTCTACAAAAGATTTTTATGTTGCAGGTACTGGTGTATCCCCTGTGATGAATGGCATGGCAACTGCGGCAGATTGGATGTCTGCTGCTTCATTTATCTCAATGGCAGGACTTATTGCTTTTTCCGGATATGATGGTTCAGTATTTTTGATGGGTTGGACAGGAGGCTATGTATTATTAGCCTTATTACTTGCCCCTTTATTTGAGAAAATTTGGAAAATTTACTGTTCCTGATTTTATAGGGGATAGGTATTATTCTAAATCTGCCAGATTACTTGCAGTGCTTTGTGCTTTAATTATTTCATTTACCTATATTGCTGGGCAAATGCAAGGAGTAGGAATGGTATTTTCAAGATTTTTAGAGGTTAGAATAGAGTGGGGTGTTGTTATAGGAATGGTAGTTGTTCTTTTTTATGCAACATTAGGTGGTATGAAAGGGATTACTTATACCCAAGTGGCACAATACTGCGTTTTGATTTTTGCTTTTATGGTACCTGCATTTTTTATTTCTTTCAATATGACAGGACATTTTATTCCGCAAATAGGCATGGGAGGAACAACCACAGAAGAAGGTATTTATATTTTAAAAAAATTAGATAATTTATTGTTAGACTTAGGTTATACTGAATATACTAAGGGCTCTAAGGCAACAATTGATGTGTTTGCTATCACTGCTGCTTTAATGATGGGTACTGCTGGTCTACCTCATGTAATTGTAAGATTTTTTACTGTTCCCAAAGTATCTGATGCCAGAAAATCAGGCTTGTATGCTTTATTTTTCATTGCTATTCTTTATACAACTGCCCCAGCAATTGCTGTATTTGCAAGAACTAACCTTATAGAAACAACTCATCAAAAAGATTATACTCAAATGCCATCATGGTTCAAGAATTGGGAGCAAACAGGGCTTTTAGGATGGATTGATAAAAATCATGATGGTAAAATTCAAATTGCCAAAGGACAAGTTGTTAAAGGTCCTAAACCTGAATTTTCCGAAGAAAAAGGTCCATATGGTGAGCGAGTAATTAAGAATCCTAATACAGCATCTAATAATGAACTCTATGTGAATGGAGATATTATGGTACTTGCTAATCCTGAAATTGCTAATTTGCCAGCTTGGGTTATAGGATTGGTAGCAGCAGGAGGTTTAGCAGCTGCACTTTCAACAGCTGCTGGTTTATTGATTGTAATTTCCTCAGCAATATCCCATGATTTAATTAAAAAAGTTATTAATCCTAATCTTTCTGAAAAAGGAGAATTAAAAGTAGCTCGCATAGCTTCTGTAATAGCTGTATGTATTGCTGGATATTTTGGTATCAATCCTCCTGGCTTTGTTGCCTCGGTAGTAGCTATTGCCTTTGGATATGCTGCTGCTACTTTCTTCCCTTCCATTGTATTAGGCATTTTCTCTCGAAGGATGAATAAACAAGGAGTAGTTTCTGGGATGTTAGTAGGTTTAGTGTTTACAATGTTTTATGTTTTAAAATTTAAGCTATCTGGTATTGCAGGCTTTACTTGGGTAGAAAGTGTTTTAGGTAGCAATGCAAAAGAAGATTGGTGGTTTGGTATTTCGCCCGAGGGTATTGGTTTCATAGGGATGATACTTAATTTTATAGTTTCTATTACTATTAGTTATTTTACAGCACCTCCACCCCAAAAAAGTGCAGGATATAGTAGAAAACATTAGAATTCCAAGTGGTGCAGGAAAAGCTATAAATCATTGATCTAAAAAATTACTGGATCACTATAAATATAGATTTTTTTAGTAGTGTCCTCTTGAATACTTGCCATTAATGGACTTTGGAATCAATAATATGACCCAAAGAGCTGTTGATGGCAGGTTTTTTGATGGCTATATATTTCAAAAAATACTGCTGTCAATACTCTTGTATAAAACTCAATAATTTTAAAATGCTTTTAAACTTTGCTAAGCTATAATCCATCATGGCAAATATTATATTTTACTATTTGATAGTTTGTGTACTTAATTGTATGTTTTTTATAAAGTTTATTAATATTTTTTTGTAAAATAATAAGTAATAGATAAAATATATAAATATATAGTATTCATAAATATAATACAATTTTTCTATTATATTTAGTATTAAAACACTATATACATGTAAATAAATAACTCTTTAATTCTTAGAAGAAAATTTTTTTTCAAAAATATAAAAAATAATATTGTATAATTTTGTGGTCTATTTTTAAATTTAAACAATTAAACAAAATTTATTATGAAACAATTTATTATTTATTCAGCAACATGTCTTGTTGCTTTAACTTTATTATTATCATCTTGTAAGAAAGATACAAAGTATGACATTGCTCTCAAAGAAACTACCTTAGGAAAAGTGTTGGTAGATAAAAATGGGAAGACTTTGTATTTCTTTGCTAAAGATGTTGATGGTCAATCAAAGTGTACAGGTGCATGCCTTGAAAACTGGCCTCCTTTTACCGATGCTTTTACAACATTAGATCCAGCATTAGAAAAGCAATTTTTTAATACTATCAATACCACTGATGGGAAAAAAACAAGTTACGTATAAAGGTTGGCCTTTGTATTTATTATAAAAATGATGCTAACCCTGGTGATGTGAAGGGTGATAATGCAGGCAATGTTTGGTTTGTAGCTAAGCATAACTATTCCATCATGATTGCAAGTGCACAACTTAAAGGAAAGGATGACAAAAACTATATTCTTCAGGATACCAGTACTAACAGTAATAAAGAATATAAATATGTGGAGGGTACTGGAGAAACTATTTATCTCACAAACCCAAATGGGGCAACTATTTATGCCTTTGTAAGGGATACATACAATAAAAATAGCTACACAAACAGTGAATTTTCAAATGATGCAATTTGGCCTATTTGGACTACAACTATTAATGAACTACCAACAGGTTTAAACAAATCTTCATTTGCTGAAATCACTGTACATGGTAGAAAACAAATTACTTTTAAGGGTTGGCCAGTATATTTCTATGGTGATGATAAGATGCGTGGAGAAACCAAAGGAGTAAGTGTACCTACACCTGGTATATGGCCTATTTTTAATTTAGATACCAAAGAAGCTACTGGAAAGTCCGAAGCTACTTCTTCTACAACTACAACTACCTCTACAAGATATTAATAATAATAATACAATTACTTTTTAGATAACAAGAGCATAGCTTCGATAATTATTCGATTGTTTATGTTCTTGTTTCTATTTTTACCATAGCAATAGAAAAGACAAACATTTGTTGCTTATTTTCTTAAACACTTAATCACCATAATACAAATATTAAAAGTAAAACTCATACTTAATTATGTGCTTCATGGCATTAAAAACAGAATGCCAAATCAAAAATGTTGACTCTATTTTTCCTTGCTATGTATACTAATTGGTGATTACATTTTTTCTCATCTTGCTTAATATAAAAAATTAATATAAAATTTACCTATCTATTGATTTTATCTATGGATATATAAAAATAATTTCATTAGACCTGTCAAAACAAATAATGAAATTTGCTCTCAAAATTGTTTTTTAAAAATAATTTTTTAGATTAAAACTTTAAACATATACAATAATGAAACAAATCATTTTTTCAGCAGTGGTGCTTTTGTCTGCGTTTGCAATGGCACAAGAAGAAAAAGAACTTTGCCCTATGGGACATAGTAAACCTGCAAAAACAGAAACTACCGAACGCAGGGAAGCTAAAATAAAAAAAACAAGTAATAAAGATTGGTGGCCTAACAAACTTAATTTGGACATCCTAAGACAAAACTCTCAAATGTCTAATCCTATGGATAAAAATTTTGATTATATCAAAGAATTTCAGTCCTTAGATTATTTTGCTTTGAAAAAAGATATTGCAAAGGTACTTACTGAATCTCAAGACTGGTGGCCTGCGGATTTTGGAAACTATGGACCATTATTTATACGAATGGCTTGGCATAGTGCTGGTACTTATAGGTCTGGTGATGGACGAGGAGGCTCTCGCTCTGGGCAACAAAGATTTGCACCATTAAATAGCTGGCCTGATAATGCTAACCTTGATAAAGCTCGCAGATTGCTTTGGCCAATTAAAAAGAAATATGGTCGCAAAATTTCTTGGGCTGACCTTATGGTTCTACAGGCAATGTAGCTTTGGAAACTATGGGATTCAAAACCTTTGGATTTTCTGGTGGTCGAATAGATGTTTGGGAACCTGAAAATGATGTCTATTGGGGTTCTGAAACCAAATGGTTGGATGATAAAAGACATACTGGTGATAGAAAACTCGAAAATCCTTTGGCAGCAGTACAAATGGGGCTAATCTATGTTAATCCAGAAGGACCTAATGGCAATCCAGACCCAATTGCTGCAGCACATGATATTAGGCAAACATTTAAAAGAATGGGCATGAATGATGAAGAAACTACTGCTCTTAATGCTGGTGGCCATACTTTTGGGAAAACTCATGGAAAAGCTTCTGAACATTATGTGGGTGCAGACCCAGAAGGGGCTAATATTGAAGAGCAAGGGTTGGGTTGGAAAAGTTCCTATGGTAGTGGAAAGGGTAAAGATGCTATTACCTCTGGGCTTGAAGTAACTTGGACAATAAAGCCTGCACAATGGAATCATGGATTTTTTAAAGGATTATTCGAAAACGAATGGGAACTTACTAAAAGTCCCGCAGGTGCTTATCAATGGGTGGCTACAAATGCAAAAGAAATTATACCTGATGCTTTTGACCCAAATCTGAAACACAAACCTACTATGCTCACCACTGATTTGGCTTTTAGATTTGATTCAAGTTATGCAAAAATAGCAAGGAAGTTTTATGAAAATCCCAAAGCATTAGAAGAGGCATTTGCCAAAGCATGGTTTAAACTTACCCATAGAGATATGGGACCAAAATCAACTTATATTGGTCCAGAAATACCCAAAGAAGATCTTATTTGGCAAGACCCCATTCCTGCATTAAATCATAAAATTGTACAAGATAATGATATTAAAAATTTAAAAACTCAAATATTAAATTCAGGTTTGAGTATAAGAGAAATGCTTACTACTGCTTGGGCATCGGCTTCTACATATAGAAATTCTGATAGAAGAGGTGGTGCTAATGGTGCTCGAATAAGACTTTTGCCTCAAAGAAATTGGGAAGTCAATCATCCTAAGCAATTAAATAAAGTATTGGCTGTTTTCCAAAACATTCAAACAAGTTTTAATGCAAAAAGTAAAGATAAAAAAATATCCATGGCAGATTTAATTGTACTTGCAGGTTCTGTTGCCATAGAGCAAGCAGCAAAAAATGCTGGCTATATTGTTCAAGTACCTTTTATGCCTGGCAGAATGGATGCTACACAAGAACAAACAGATATAGAATCTTTTAACTTATTAGAACCAATGGCAGATGGATTTAGAAACTATTTGAAACAAAAATATACCTTATCTACCGAAGAATTATTAATAGATAAAGCTCAATTAATGACCCTTACAATTCCAGAATTAACAGTATTAGTAGGTGGTATGCGTGCTTTAAATGCTAATTTTGATGACTCTAAACATGGTATTTTCAGTAATAAAAAAGATGTTTTAAGCAATGATTTTTTTGTAAATCTTTTGTCAATGGAAACAGAATGGAAACCAAAAGATGATACCAAAGAAATATTTGTAGGTATAGATAGATATTCTAATAAAGAAAAATGGACAGCCACCAGAGCAGATTTGATTTTTGGCTCAAATTCTGAATTGAGAGCCATTGCAGAAGTGTATGCCAGCGATGATGCTAAGGAAAAATTTGTAAAAGATTTTGTAGCTGCATGGACCAAAGTAATGAACTTGGATAGATTTGATATCAATTAAAAAAACATTTAAAACATATTTAAAGCTGTATCTTTTTTAAGATGCAGCTTTATTATTTAAGATAAGTTATTAGATAAATAATTTGTAGTAAACATCTAAGTATTGTTGATAAGGCTTCTTTATTTTCTCAAATATTCTATTTCCCCATTAGGTAAAAAACGAATAATTTGTGAAGGTTTTTTAATATTTGCCATATCCATTTTTGCAGGTACTATCCAATCAACTTTGTTTTTAATATCCATACTAATATTTTTAAAATGAAAAGGACTCATGTCTCCGGAATTATTGGCAGAAGTAGATAGTAAGGGCACTTTTATTTTATGAATAAGTGCTTGACAAAAATTGTCCTTAACCAAACGAATGGCAATGCTCCCATCAGAAGCATATAAGATTTGAGGCAGTCTTTTTTTTATTTGATTATAAATAATTGTTGTAGGTGTAGTATGAGTATATAAAAAATCAATGATTGTATCATTGAGAAGTACATATTTTTCTAATTGTTCTATATCTGCAAGCAAAATAATAAAAGATTTATTAGTAGGTCTATTTTTAATTTTATAAATTTTATTAATGCTCTTCTCATTGCTTGCATCACAACCAATTCCCCAAATAGTATCAGTAGGATACAAAATGATTTTACCTTGTAAGACAACAGATGCTGTCTCTTGTACCATTTCCTCAAAAGAAGTTAATGACATAAGTTATGGTATATATTTATCAGTTGTTTGCTAATATTTTTTTGACTAAATAAACTTGCTTGTGCTATTCCTTTCTCAATATATTCCTTTCTCAATATTTTATTTTCAGCTAATTCCTGCATGGCTTCTGCCATTGCTTCTTCATCAAAGGGATTAACATAATAGACAGCCTTTCCTCCTACCTCCAACAAGGAAGAAGCATTATTGGTAATCACAGGAATATGGCTCAAAAAAGCCTCCATAATAGGAATCCCCCAACCTTCAAAAATAGAGGGATAAATTAATGCCTCTGCTTGTTGATAGATAGCTGGCAAATCATTGTCATAATCTTCATGAGTAATAGTATGTATATCGCATCTGTTGTTTAAAAAAATAATTTTATCACTTAATTTTTTATTTGTAATATATTGTTTAACCTCTTTATAATATTTCCCATTGCCATTGCCTATAACCACTAATGGAATATTTAATTTATCTTTTAATATATAAATAGCTTTACAGATAGTCAATAAATTTTTTCTCTCAATAATAGAGCCCACATTCAAAAAATATTTATTGGGTAAATGATACTTTTGCTTCACTCTTTGATGTTTCAAAGGACTGATTTGATGTGAAAATTTAGTATGGCAAGATTGATAAGAAACTATAATTTTATTTTCATCAATGCCATAAATATTGACAAGATCTTTTTTAGTTTGTTCACTAATGGCAATAATTTTAGTAGCTCTTTTGCAGGCATATTGATACTTTTTGCGATATATATGCACATCCATACAATGATATTGTTGGGGGTATCTTTCAAATATTAAATCGTGAATGCTAACTATGGTAGGTATTTTTTCAGAAATTCCAAAAGGTAATTCATTGCTCAATCCATGATATAATTGTATACCTTTTTTTTTCAATTGGGTGCTTATTCCAACACTTCTCCAAAGGGCATTAAATTTTTTTGCAAAAAAAGATTTTGGCAAGATTTCCTTTATACAAGTATACTTTTTATATTGAAATAAATTGGAAGGTTTTGTATTATACAATATATAATTGTTATTAGGATAATAAGTTGCTAAGCCTTCTATTAAATTTCTACTATAATTACCTAATCCAGTAGTATTATGAAAAGCTCTTTTAGCATCTAAGGCAATATTCATATTAAATAATAAATTCTTTTGATGGTATAATATTAGTTAGAGTATATTTGTACTTATTATTTTGCTATAAAATTAATATAAAAATTTATGGAAATTAAACAATTTGTTGAAGAAGCATTTAAAAATAAATCTTTACTCAAAGAAAAAAAATATGAAGAAGCCATTTGTGAAACAATTGAGTTATTAGACAAAGGAAAAATTAGGGTATGTCATTATATTGAAAATGAATGGGTAGTGAATGAATGGGTTAAGCAAGCTATTGTAATGTATTTTGGAATTCGGCAAATGGAAGTTATGGAAAATTTTCCTTTTGAGTTTTATGATAAAATACCTTTAAAGAAAGATTATGCTTTGCAGGGTGTGCGTGCTGTGTGCCTCATGCTATTGCAAGATATGGCAGTTTTTTGGGTAGGCAAGTGGTTTTAATGCCTTCGTATGTCAACATAGGTGCTTATGTAGATGAGGGAACAATGGTTGATACATGGGCAACAGTAGGTAGTTGTGGACAAATTGGGAAAAATGTACACCTTAGTGGTGGTGTGGGTATTGGTGGTGTCTTAGAACCTTTACAAGCAAAGCCTGTCATTATAGAAGATTCTTGTTTTATTGGTAGTAGATGTATTGTTGTAGAGGGTGTTTCAGGTCAAAAAAGAAGCTGTATTGGGTGCCAATGTTGTGATTACACAAAGTACAAAAATTATTGATGTTAGTGTTTTCCCTCTCCCATAGAATATAAAGGGGTAATTCCTGAGCGTAGTGTTGTTATTCCTGGGGTTTATAACAAACAATTTCCAGCTGGGCAATATGGGGTATCTTGTGCTCTTATTATTGGCAAGCGTAAAGAAAGTACAGACCTCAAAACAAGTCTCAATGATGCTTTACGTGATTTTAATATATCTGTGTAGCAGAGATTAGATTTTTAGCCATTCTTCCAAAGTAAATATCTCTTTGTGGCGGATACCTTTGTCTGTCATTTGTAGTGTGATACATGCTACCAATGGGTCATGTTCAAAAAATAAAGTATAATTATTGGCTAAACTCTCTTCTAAATATTTCTTTTTTTCTTTTTCATGCTTTCTAATGGGTTAATATCATAACTTGGCACATATCCTATGGATAGATGGGCTAATAAACATATTAAATCTGCAACATATAAAAGTGTTTTTCCATGATAGTTTATTTGTAACATCATCATGGCCTCTGTATGTCCATAGGCAAAGCGAACTTTTATATTATTGGTGAATAAAAAACCATCTTCAAGGGGTATCATTTTCAATTTCCCAGATGCTTCTAAGGGTAATAAATTTTCTTGCAAAAAAGAAGGCTTTTCTCGTTCATTAGGATTTCATTGCCCATGCCCATTGTGCTTCATTAGTCCAATAAAGAGCATTTGGAAAAGCAGAAACAATATTGCCTTTATCATCTTTCATAAATGCACCACCCACATGGTCCATATGTAAATGAGTTAAAAAAATATCTGTAATATCTTCCCTCTTGAATCCATATTCTTTTAAAGAATTATCCATCATTTCTCCATGTATATAATAATATTGCAAGAGTTTTTTATCTTGTTTATTGCCAATACCTGTATCCACTAAAATCAAACGATTGTTTTCCTTGATTAATAGACAGCGCATACTCAAAGTACAAAGATTATTTTCATCTGCTGGATTTTGTTTTTTTGCCAAATAGATTTTGGGACAGTGCCAAACATTGCTCCACCATCTAATTTAAATAATCCTGCATTAATTGTATATAATTCCACAATAAATATTTTTTTAGGTTTTTTGATATCCATTCACTTAATGTAAACTGCTCTTTTACTCTAATACCTTTTTCTGTGTTTTCCAAAGATACACATTCAACATAGGGATCATGTTCAAAGAAAAGGGTATAATTATTTTTTAAGGCTTCATTTTAAATATTTTTTTTTTTTCTTGCATGGTTAATAAAGGACGTACATCAAAAGCAGGAAAATAGGGAATGGGCAAATGAGTAGTAAAAGGCAATAGGTCAGCAATATATAAAAGTGTTTTTCCATTATAATTTAATTTGTGGCAACATCATAGCATGTGTATGTCCATAAGCAAAGCGAATTTTTTATATGTTTAGTAAATAAAAATCCATCTTCCACAGGTATCATTTTTAATTTGCCAGAGGCTTGCATGGGCAATAAATTTTCATCTAAAAAAGAAGCCTTTTCTCTAATATTAGGGTTAATACTTGCCCAATCCCAGTGTTCTTGATTACTCCAATAAAGTGCATTCGGAAAAGTAGGTACAATATTGCCTTTACCATCTTTCATAAAAGCACCACCCACATGGTCAAAATGTAAATGTGTTAGTATAACATCTGTAATATCTTTGTAACTATATTTGTATTTTGCTAATGAAGCATTCAAACTATCATTGCCATGTAAATGAAAATGTCCTAAATATTTTTCATCTTGCTTGTTCCCAATGCCAGTATCTATTAATATAACTTTATTATCCTCTTCTATCAGCAGACAGCGTGTATTCATTACACAAAGATTATGCTCATCAGGGCTATGATACTTTGCCCAAATTTTTTTGGGGATAGTACCAAATAAAGCACCACCATCAGATTTAAAAAATCCAGCAGGAATAGAATAAAGTTTCATAAGGTTTATTATTTATTATAAAGAAACTTATATATTAATTTTATATTAGTTAAAAAATAAATATTAAATTTTAGCTAATTTTGTACAACAAAGTTATGCAAATTACTTTAATATCTGATATCAATAAAGAAGATGCTACATTAGCCATTTTCAAAAGTGCTGTATGGGCAAGTCTACCAGATGCTAAAATAATAGATATAACACATCATATTCATTTTGGAACACACTTACAGGCAGTGTATCATTTAAAAAGTTCTTTATATATATTTTCCTAAGGGAAGTATACATATTGTTTTGGTAGATTTGTTTAATAATTTGGAATCTTTTTTACTGCTTGCACAATACAAAGAACAATATTATATTGCTCCCAACAATGGTATTCTAACAATGCTATTGCCGAACAATGAATATACTTTTATCAAAGCACTTCCTATTGCTCAAAAAAATAATATGATATACACAAAGCTCATTTTTGATA